CGACCGGCTGTCCAGCACCGATTCTCAAACCTGCCATGGTAGGACCTGCAAGCCACCTTTGAAAAACGAACCGCACAAAGAATCTTCTCCCGGGGCTGTATGCCGGAATTGTGCTACAAGCCTGTGCTAAAGCCATGGCAGTGTCGCCTTCATCCTGCAGATACTACGTAATAACAGGGGCCCTCATAAGAAGAATAAGGCTTTGTAGGTGTGATGTACTATAGATATTTCTGGAACACAGCTGGTACTCATTCATGTTTTATTACATCCTAAATCGCTGAGGTCGCAGACGCCATTGGCATCGCCACCGCCCATAGCAACACTGTTTGAGCCTGCCGAGAAAGCATAATTATGGCGTCCTTCCGTGGGTTTCGGGGTCTAGTTCTAGGGTCTTGTTGTTCAGGGTTTAGGGTCTAGGGAAACACGCAGTCGTACGAAAGGCCATATGAAAGAAATGAGCCCAAAGGACTTTTTCAATTTCGTTACGGCATAGTGATCCTACCTAAACCGTAAACCCTAAACCCTACAGCTTCTGTGGGAAGCAATCCCATGAAAGTAACTGATGATGCTGCTGATGGAAGCATGACTAGCACACGGAACCCAGTCGGTTTTCCTAAACCCTAAACCCTAAACCCTAAACCCTAAACCGTGGGTGAGGAGAGGCCTCGTACCTTTGGATGCAACAATTCTATTTGGGTTCAGTGCTTAAGGTGTAGGGTTTTTCTCCACACCGACACCTCAGGACCTTGGCTTCGACATGAAATCTCCAGTCACCTAAGCTCTGAGTGGCGAGCTCGAAGACCCCAAACCGACCAAAAACCCTCGTAAACCCTAAACGCTGAACCCCTAAACCCATTAGGGGTTTAGGGGGTAGGGGTTTAGGGGTTGAGGGTTCAGGGGTTTAGGGTTTAGAGTTTAGGGGTTTAGGGATTTAGGGTTTAGGGGCTTGGGGTTTAGGGGTTTAGGGCTTAGGGCTTAGAGGTTTAGGCTTTAGGGGTTTAGGGGTTTAGGGGTTTAGGGGTTTAGGGGTTTAGGGGTTTAGGGGTTTAGCGTTTTAGGGGTTTAGGGGTTTAGGAGTGTCGGGGAAAGTACACAACTACCACTCAGAATA